GGCAGGGCGGCGGCCATGGAGCCGCGCATCGGCAACAAGTTCCGCGTCGGCCGCAAGCTCGGGAGCGGCTCCTTCGGGGAGATCTACCTCGGTACGTCCCCGCCCCCTCCGGCCGCCAGATCCCCCTTTCCTCCCAAAGCCGTCGCCTTTTTCTCTTCCTCTTTTTTTTTTCTAACAGATTCCGTCTCTCTGTTATGTGCAGGCACCAACGTGCAGACCAACGAGGAGGTCGCGATCAAGCTCGTGAGTTCCTCCGTCCCTCCCTCCCTCTCCACGACGCTCATCAATTTTCTCCACCCCCCAGTGGTGTGGTTTCGGGGGATCTATGTCGAATTGGATGCTAGATTTGGGGAATTGCCATGCTAGTATTATTTTCCCAGCGCCGGATTAATTAGGCCATGGAAACCCGTGGATTACGCCGCTTGTTAATTCCTGTAGCTAATGCTCATGGAACGGTGATGCATGGAAGGATTTGGGGTGCTAACTGAATTATGTGCTTTGGCTGGCTGTGTGCAATGCAGTTTTGTCTACCTGTCCAGTTACATGCTCTAGCTACTGCCGAAATATGAACCTTAATTAAAGAGATGGAATACACAAATGCCAATGTCAATACACTACTGCCCCATCTGTTTACTTTTCCTATGCTAGGATTCATTTGCTCAGTCTCTTAAGCACAATACATGTTTTGTCAGCCAAAATATGAGATTCTTCAAGAGATGGAATGGAACACGACACACAAACGTTTCGCAGCAGTGTAGTGCCTTCTGTTTCGCTTTTCTGTAGGCTAGCCTTCATTTGCTTTGAACTCATAACCATAATAAGTTTTTAATTGCATTACAAGTGTTCTGCCTGATTCATTTACCCGAGCTGATGCTCTTTGATTTTTCTTGTTTCTGCGTGGTTTTGCTCAGGAAAATGTCAAGACAAAGCATCCGCAGCTGCTCTATGAGTCAAAGCTGTACAGAATACTTCAAGGAGGAAGTAATATGTTTTTCTGCTTCCTTGGTCTTACTTGCTCCAGTCTCTTTTCTCTTGTGTTTATTCACGGAGGGATCAACTGACTCCCCCTACTGTTGTGCAGCTGGAATCCCAAACGTCAAGTGGTTTGGTGTGGAGGGTGATTACAATGTTTTGGTGATGGACTTGCTGGGCCCGAGCCTTGAGGATCTCTTCAGTTTTTGCAACAGGAAGCTGTCTCTAAAAACTGTTTTGATGCTTGCTGATCAAATGGTATGCAACACTTCAGATTCCCTTGGCATCATTACTTTGGTCTCTTTCATTTCATCACGTGGGATCTAAACAACTTCCTTTTTGTCAGATCAATCGTGTCGAATTCGTCCATTCCAAGTCTTTCTTGCATAGAGATATCAAGCCGGACAATTTTCTCATGGGTCTTGGGAAAAGGGCAAATCAGGTAAATGCTACATTCCACTGGTCTGCCTTTATTGATGGATGTATTATTGGTGTTCTTATCTGTAACTTTCATCTATCTGTAGGTTTATTGTATAGATTTTGGGCTTGCAAAGAAGTATAGGGATACATCGACACACCAGCACATTCCATATAGGTAAATGTTATATCCCATTGTTGATCTACTTGAAGAGATTTGGATGCATTCTACAGTATATTGTCAAAGTTATGGCTCCTCTTTTGATGTTGCCACACTGGGTGACATAACTTTTTTACATTCATGACATAAGCATTTTATGTTCATGCCTGAGTTTTGCACTGATATAATTTAAATCAGTGGACAACACAGTATCTATGACAACTTATGACCATTTTCTGTTTAATCACAGAGAGAACAAGAACTTGACAGGAACAGCAAGATATGCGAGTGTAAACACTCATCTTGGAATTGGTAAGTTTCCTTGACTGTTGGCTGTGCACTCCTTTATTCTGTAACTGTACCTAGATTCCCGAGGAATGTAGTGTTATTTGTTCCTTGTAAAATTCTCTTACCTTTCATGCATTAATCTGTTTAGTTATCCTAATTTAATTTTCTGCTTCACCGTAGAACAAAGCAGGAGGGATGACATGGAATCTCTTGGATATGTTCTGATGTACTTCTTAAGAGGAAGGTTGTTGACAATAACCACACGTCATTTTCTGGCATCTCTGCAAAATTCTCGGTACTAACACATGATTTTCTTGCTATCAGTCTTCCATGGCAGGGTCTGAAAGCTGGGAACAAGAAACAGAAGTATGAGAAGATCAGCGAAAGGAAAATTGCTACTTCAACTGAGGTAGCACACTTCTCTATATCCTGCGTTCACCATTATTGATGCATTATTTTCTTAATTGTATTCTCTTGACTGTAGGCCCTCTGTCGTGGATATCCTACTGAATTTGCATCTTATTTCCATTACTGCCGCTCACTGCGCTTTGAAGATATGCCAGATTATCAGTATCTCAAGAGATTGTTCAGAGACCTTTTTATTCGAGAGGGTGGGTTTTCTTTTTTGCATGTTTGTGAACTTATAATCATTCATTTAATTTAGTGATTAATGATACATGGATGTTTACACAACAAAATGCTGCAAATTGCTCTCCGTTTTAAACTCTTGATTGACAGAGCAATGTTTTGTACTTGCAGGGTTTCAATTTGATTATGTTTTTGATTGGACGATTCTCAAGTATCAACAGTCACAGATGACCAGTGCTCCACCGCGCGCCATGGTCAGTACATTGCAACTGTTCCTCCTTAATGCTGTGCACATGAGGATTCATGTCTTACTGTTTGCTACTTTCCTTTTATGTTAGGCCGCTGCAGCAGGACAAAGCTCTGGGATGGCTCCCATGGCAAATAGGCAGTCAGGTACCTTATATTATCCATCATGATGGATTCTAGAGTATCTTATGAGTTATTTATATGCAAGGCAATAATAAGTTAGTATCTGTATATTAGATGGAAGTCTGTTCTTTAAATAAGATGGTATTTCCCTGGAAAATAGATTTTTGAAATATGCATGTGGATTGAGATTACAAAATGTTCGTAGTAGTAGGAAGTTAGAAATCAGGCTCATTACCTGTCGCTTTGTTCTGTTGAGTTGGGAACCGTTTAAATGATAATCAGATAAGCGTATGGGAAATACAGATATATGATAATGAACCTGTTGAGGCTAGTCTGATTACATGCAGTTTGGTCTTGCGAATATGTTCTCTTCTCGTGTCTTTATGTGGTTGACAACCGTGCACTGAATTGATGCAGCCACTGAAGAAGGGAGGAGGAGCGGGTGGTCAGATATGGATGGCATGCGGCGCCAGGTTCCACCTCCAGCTATAAATGCAGGCAGCCTGGCCAAGCAGAAGTCGCCTATCAGACATGACCAATCCACCTCAAAAGATGCTATGGTAAGTTGTCAAGAGTTGCTACGTATTTCATCCCATCTGTCTCTTGTTGCTAGGGAAATACGCAGACCACCGAAGTGGTCTTGTGTACGTACATACATACATATATAAAACTGGCCTGTAACACCTGACCCTTAAATGACGTGTAGTTCTCCAGTTCGACTTTGTTGGGACGGTCAAGCGGGTCCTCAAGGCGACCTGCTGTCTCTAGCAGCCGGGAGCCGAGCACGGACGCGGAGCAGACGCGCAGCCGCACGACGGACGCGAGCCCGGGGGCGTTCCAGCGGTCGTCGGCCCCGCGGTGGAGCCCGCAGGTGGGCGACTCGTCGGACACGAGGGGGCGGTCGTCCTCGGGCAGGCACCAGTCGTCGAGCGCCAAGAACTACGAGTCCACGGTGCGGGGCATCCAGGGCCTCAACTTCGACGGCGACGACACCAGGAACCACTACTAGGCCCCGAGGCGGAGGCGGAGGCCGGGCAAAATAAGAGGTGTGGCCTGGCGGGGGCGTCTCAGCCAGGCAGCGGCTACCACGGGCGGGCGTGCCGTGGTCTTCTTTATGACGAATGAATGAATGGATGGAAGTGGAATGGAATGAACGAATGGTGTTTGATGACGGCGGTGGGTTTGCTTGGCCGTTTTAATTTGTACAGTTTGTTTTCTCCCCCTTTGTTGTGGCCGCTTGCGGCGGCGTTAATTTTAGTCCCTTGAAGAAGATGGATGATGTTGTATTTCGGAGAGATGTATGCAGGCCGGCGCGGCGTAACGCCGCTCGTTTGGAATCCCGTTGGTTTTTAAATTAAAATGGCCGAATGCCTGCGAATATATAATACATGTTTTAGTTGGTGAGACTGGGAGCTGGCAAAGCTGAGATTTGCATTTCATTTTAGTTTGTTGAGGCTTGAGAATTGCTGCTGTTTATTTATACTTTTGGCAAGGCTGAAGTGGTGTGCTATTCCCACTGTTCCATGTCAAACTTTTTAGCTTGGGAGTTGGGTTGTTCATGCCATCAAATTGCTGCTGCTGATGTTGATTCCTCTTTCCTTGTAAAATTAAAGTGACGAATCCAGCCCCTTGCTTATTTTTTTATGAATGGAGATATATGCATCTCTTGGAGCTGTTCATGCCATTTGAGTGATCTGTTTTTCTGAGGGAATGTGAATGGTGATCTTTTTCAATTTTTTTTGTCTGTGGAGATTTTCGTATGCTGCTGAATTTACAATTTAGTTTTTGGTTGAGGTCTGGAACCACTTTGACTGTCTGCTTGTATCAGCACAGAACTTCATCAATCTCAAAGACCAGCCGGCTCAAGGAAAAAGGATAAAAGAACTTCCTCCGAGGTGCTCGTAGAGGTAGGTATTGCATGCGTGCGTTCATAGAGTACTAACCGTTTTAGGGCCCCAAAACAATTTTCATAATGTTGAACCCAAAGTGCGATTACGTGTCGGTCACCGACACTCACAGATTCGGCCGATTCTGCCCCGTTTCGTGGACTATTACTCAACGTTTTGGACCCCGGAGTGATTTTCACGATTAACAAATCCTAGGGTGCGTTTACCTTTCGGTTATCAACACTCGCGGTTTTGATGAATTCTGACACGTTTCATGAACTATTACTCACTGTTTTGAGGCTTCAAAGCGATTTCCATAGTTGTTGAACCCCAAGATGCGCTTACGTGTCGGTCATCAACACTCACAGTTTTGGCCGACTCTAGTCCGTTTCGTGGACTATTATTCACTCTTTTGGGGTCCCGGAGTGATTTCCACGATTAACGAACCCTGGGGTGCGTTTACGTTTC